GATAAAGAAAAAGTAAAGTTAGTAAAAATTAACAACAAATCAACTGATAAATAAGATATCAAATTATAATATAATATAAATAATAATACGGGATATAATAAGATAAAGAATATTTTTAATTTAATATGAACTCTAATTCATTAAGAGATGTAATAATATTTTGTAAACATCGTAAGCATAACAATCTTCAAACGAATAAATTTTTTTCTTTGGCAGTTACATTACAGATTGCACAAATGTATCAAAAACCTTTGGCAAAATTCATAAAATTTTTAAGATATATATTCATTTAAGTATGAAATAATTATGAAAGTATTTTTGAATTGACTAACTTGTCGTGCAATTTCCTTTCCTCCAAAATTATTTCAGAGCACAAATGCCTAATATTTTAATGCGTTTGTTTAGATACTGGAACCGCGAATTAGAAAAGCTAAAGAAATTCGAATATACTGTGGGTAAAGACGGGAAGAAAGTGCCGTTGAAAGGAAATGCACGTCCGAGACTATACAAGGCGCTCTTCGGCGCCTTTTGGTTGCCATATTTTATTATCGGCATCTACGTATTTATACAGGTGAAAACTATTAGTAACTTTGCAAAAAGGCACCGAATGCATAACAATATCTGCTAGCGTTACATGATATCAAATGAAAAAACCAATTAATTAAATTATCTTATATTGTCTGTGTTAATAGTTTTCGCGTTGAAAAGAAGAAAAAAAAAGAAAAGAATTTATTACCGCAACCCATCTAATAAGAAAATATTTACCAAATCAGATTTTTTTTGCTTTTTAAATTAATAAAAGATTACGTTAAAGATTTATATAAATACGCAATAGAATATTAATCTCAATGGGTCCCCTTTTTTAGGCATGCATATTGCATATTTTAGTACCGATTCTGCAGGGTTGGATCATCAGCTACTTCATGGGGGAACCGAACTCAACGGACATGATAGGGAAAAACGAGACAATGATTTATGTCGCCTGTTTAGTGATCTGTACCTTCAGTAGCACCCTGTTGTCAAACCACACTACAATAATGTCACAACAAATTGGCATGAGATTACGCGTTGCCTGCAGCTCCCTCATCTACAGAAAGGTAATGTTATATAAGTTTTAAATAAGTTTTAAGCCTCAATACAATAATCTAAAAATTTTTCTACGGAAGAATAGAAAGATTCTGTTCTTTCTGAGTATAAATGGCGTCTCGGGATCAATTCCGATTATTGTGCGATTTTGATTAAACCTTGCGTGACACTTTTCTATATTGAAAAAGTTCAGTGCGAAAGATTCATCAGTATAAATCATTGATGTAATGGTATTTTTGTAAAATTGAAAGAAACTGATTTTACTGTTGGAAAAATTAATTTAAATGAGTTTTCTTCAGTTTTTGAAAAAATGGGTTGCTATATACAATACAAAATTGAATTTATTTATTGAACAAAGTTGAATTTACAATACCCATTCACACTGTTTATAATATTCACGATTCTTGAAAACAGACGAATATATATATATATATATATATATATATATATATATACAGGGTGTATCTGAAATGATGCACTAAACTTTAGGAGCATATTCTAGAGGTCAAAATAAAACTTTTTTTCCTATGAACATGGGTCCGCAAATGAACCCTCCTCCGAGCTAGAGGCCCCTAAAGTTTGGGGAAAAAATTAAAAATTGGCTGTATTTCAGAAAAAAAAGGCAGAAGGTT